AGGATTAGCTGACTCATAAAGACCTTCTTTTCCAGAGCTTCGACTTTTAAAAGAACAATAGGTGTCATCCACTAACATCCATCATAATTCCCTTTTGGCTACGTAAGTAATCCCAATACAGTTGTGGCCCTAACCTACATATCTTGGTGGAGTATGCGTACATGAATTTTCAGATTTTTAATACGTATATTTAGTTGAAACGCGGTGGGGTGGAGACTTTTGCCCACTACAATAAATCAATTAAGAATAGATATCTACATATTTGTTTTCTATTGCCTTATAGTATATTTTTTTTTTGTTTAGCTAAACAAAGAAATAGAACGAGGAAAAATCAATTATTTTCCTAAACGAAAGAAATAAGACAAAAAAGAAAAAGAAAAGAAAGGAATCGTTTTATATGTATGTGTGTAGACAGGGACGAATGATAACGTTGTGATGTGTAAGAACACAAAAATTTAAGAATAAATGGATAACAAAAATGAACAATGCATTCCCAGCATACACACATACATATATTCGATTTTTTTTGTCAATTAGCGTAATCTTCTAGATAGTATCTACGATATGAAATAAACTTTTTTTTCCGTTTGACAAACATAACGTAACAACAAACATAGAAAGACGAAAATAACAAGACAGCAAAAAAACAGAAAATGAAAAGAAACATTGTTGACTAAAGTAATTATGTCTCACGGTTGTGGATAAATATATATATATATATATATATATATGTGTGTATGTGTATGTATCCATTATAGGTTTCAATCAAAAAAAAAGGCAAACAAAAGAAAAAAAATATGATGTTAATTATAAGTTTATTTGTTATCATCAGAATAAATAGAAGATGGTAAAAGATTTTATTTTTTGGTTTGATGCTGATGATTTTGATGAAAGGACAAGAACAGATGTCTATCTTTTTTAAATCAGATCGGCAACGTTCATTGGCATTTCTTGTATTTGTGTATTATAGAATTGTTCAATATCACGTAATGTTCGTCGATCATCATCCGTAACAAAATTGATTGCTACACCTTTTCGACCGAATCGACCACCACGACCAATACTTTTAAAAAAAAACCACGCACAAATTTGAATAATAATTTTCGATAATTTTATCTTACCGATGAATATAATTTTCACGATTATTTGGTAAATCATAATTAATAACAAGACTAACTTGTTGTACATCAATACCACGTGCAAGTAAATCAGTTGTAATCAATACACGACTAGAACCTGTTCGAAATTCTTTCATGATAACATCACGTTCTTTTTGATCCATATCACCATGCTACAATAAGAAAAACAAAATTAATTTTTTTTTTTTTGTTCATCAATATTTGTTCACTCTAATTATTTTTATTTAAGAAAGAATGACTTTACAATTGATTTATTTAATATTTGGCCAAGTCCAGTACATTATATTTAAAAGGAAAAAAATATATGTTTGGTAATATTGGCCACAGTTAGAAACCAAAAGAATAAATAAATAAGAATTTTTGTTTTTTGTCTTTAAACTTACCATTGCTGATACAGTAAAATCTCGTGAACGCATTTTTTCTGTTAACCAATCAACTTTTCGACGTGTATTGCAAAAGATAACAGCTTGTGTAATTGTTAATGTTTCATATAAATCACAAAGCGTATCTAATTTCCATTCCTATAAAAAAAAAACACGAAAAGAAAATTAAATATAAATAGATATTATTTTAGTTTTTTCTTTTGTTACCTCAAGTTCAACAGTAACATAAAATTGTCGAATACCTTCAAGTGTTAATTCTTCTTTTTTAACAAGAATTTTAATTGGATCATTCATAAATTTAGTTGTTACTTCCAGTACATCGCCAGGCATTGTAGCTGATAGAAGAATAACCTGAATATTTTGTGGCATTGTTGTGAATACATCATAAATTTGTTCTTTAAAACCACGCGATAACATTTCATCAGCTTCATCTAATACGAACATTTTAATATTTTTGCTACCTAATAATGATATTTATGAGAAATATTTAAAGATCAACAGAAACAAAAAAAAACATTCGAATACATACGAAGAGCTGATCGATTAAGCATATCATAAACACGTCCGGGTGTACCAACAACGATTTGAACACCTGTTTCAAGTCGTTTTATATCATCGCGAACATTAGTACCACCGATACAAGCATGACATGTTACACCCATATAATCACCGAGGGCTAAGACTACTTTTTGAATCTATATAAATAAATAAAAAAGGAAAAGAGAAGTGAATAAGTAAAGTTTGAATATAGTTTTATGATTATAAATATACTTGTTGAGCCAATTCTCGAGTGGGTGCTAAAATTAATGCTTGACAATCTTTGAAATCCGGATCAAGTTGTTGTAATATTGAAATAGCAAATGTTGCTGTTTTGCCTGTACCCGATTGTGCTTGGGCAATGACATCATGACCTAAAATAAATAAACAATATCAATTAAGAAAAAAAATATTAATGATTTATTATAAAAACTAACCCAAAATACAAGGTTTAATAGCACGTTGTTGAATAGCAGAAGGTCGTTCAAAACCATAACCATAAATACCACGTAAAAGTGGTTCACGTAAATTCATCTGATCGAATTGTTCGACCACTTCAGTCCAGTTGCTCTCGATCGTTCCATCTAAATATTCAATTCAATTTTGATATACATATTTTTTGTTTTTTTCTACTTACCAGGTTCCATTGATGGAACACCTGTGTTCGAGTTCTGGTTGGTGTCATTCCTATAAAAAAAAAACAAAGATTAAAGACAATAACTTATTATCAATTATCTCCCAATTATTTTTTTCTGATAATGAATTAACAAGAAAATTGACATACTTGTCCTTAGACATTTTGTGTGATTGGTGACATAATCTAAAGTAAAATAGATACAAAAAAAAAATTTAATTAATATTTGTTTAAAAAACAGCAATTAGAAAATATAAATGCATGGATATACACTTTTCGAGAGTCAGGCAAGCGTTTGAGCAAGATGGCGGATTAGTAAGCTATTTCTCTGTTAAAACATAGACTGGCTAGTTTACATCAGCAGAGAGGTTAGATACAAATTGAAATTTTTTTCTTTTTCGAAAAAAAACCTAAATTTTTATGTTTTTTTTTTTAAAATTATATACTACAATAAAGATTTTATTGTATAACGATTTCTTTCAAAATTTTATTCGATTGTCGCTCATCGACATAGAAAAATAAAATAGTAATGCATTTCAAATGGATACAATGTATGTACGAATAAGAAAGAAAGATTATATATATTTCTGAACAAGAAAAAATAAATAACTAAAGATGATTAATTTTATATGGAAAAAATCATAATTGAAAAAAAAAAACATTTAATAAGATTTATTTCTTTAAAAAATTAAAATTCATTGAATCAGAGAAAAAAATGTTTTTTATATTGGGTATTTATTGGCATGGAATTTCGACTTTATACAAAAGCAATTGACGAGTGAATTGGTTTTAAGGAAGACAAAAAAAAATGATTTAATAAATTTCATGAGAAGAAATCGCAGTGATATTGCATCTAATAATACACGATATTCATAGAGCAGGTGTTTCATCATGAATGTAGAGGTACATTGTAATCGATATTTACTGAAGGGAGAAATACTTCTCCAATGTCAATCGTCCACATCCTCTCTCTCATGCAGTGCTGTAGCATCTAGCAAAAATTTAAAAAAAACCCTACCTTTTCTTCTCAGAAGATGGCAGTTAGAATATATTTCTGCATTTGTGGTGGAACACTTACTATATGAATACAGGAGGACCTTCCTTGCAAGTCGATCATATCGCGTGTTTGATTTCATGCAAACTGTCAAATTTATTGAAATTCTTTGCATAATGATTTATAATTGATAGTTTGTCTTTTGTAAATTTGTATCGATTTTGAATGTCATATACAATTAGTTCGAATAGTAAAGTACGTGTATAACGTACAAGCGAATTTGAAGATTATTCTTATAAATGATATTGTAAATCTAGTATTCTCTTGAAAACATCAAGATGAATTATTAATATATTCTGATTTAACTAGCTAATTCTTTTGTAAAAAGTACTATAAATGGCCAATGTATTTTTATTATATTCGAACGTTAGAAATAAGTGTACACGACTTCTTATTTAGCGAATTCAAACTTTCTGTATTTTATTTTATCATTGCTTTTATTAACAAAGATAAACTAAATGTTAACGAAATATACTTTATATTAATCCATAGTTTTCTACAATATTTCATTAAATTATTAGCAACTTCTAAAATTATATATTGAATTCTCTTACAATAAATAGATGCTTGATGTGAATAATTATCTTGAATTGATATTGAAGTAGATTATTCTAATATGAAAATGATTTGTATCTAATATGAATGGAACGTATTCATAACTAATATATGTTTAATAAAGAAAGTAAATATTTCTTTTTCAACTAATGTTTGCATGTGAATAAAAGAAGGGTGACAAGTGTAAGCTCAATAATTCAACAACTACCAACCTACGGGTGTCAGCAATTGAAAGAGGAAAATTTTGGACGTCTTTTTGTTTGATAATATATAGGACATAATTATTTTAAAACTTATTATCTAGATAATAGGTCTTGAAATAATTTTGTCTTATATAATATCAGAGTAAAAAGATATCGGAAGTTCTCCGCTTTCGACTGTTAAAAATAGCAGGTTGCTACTTGCTGTCATCGTCGAGTTATTGAGATTACACTGACTCATCTTTAACTCGGACATGAATATTGATCATATTTTGTATTCTTTCATGAATGAAGATAACTAAGATAAGAATTTCTAGTATTTTGATCACGTTCGAATTTGTTATTGTGATTAATTTTATTATCAAAAGAAAAAGTTTGTTGTATACAACAGAGACAAAGAGAAAATTTCATTTTGATGAAGACACATAGAAAAATAAAGTTCTAGTTCTATTTCTATTGGCGTATGAATGAACAAATAGAACTTTGTATTATCAAACAATGCATGCGCCATTTGAGTATACGATAGCAACAATTTATTCAATGGTGAATAAATTCTATTAAAAACTTAAGAGATTTGCTTGACAAAATGTCATTTTTTAAAAGTGCCTTTTCAGTCAAGAAAGTAAAACCACGAAAACAAATTTCAAGAAGTCCATTGAAATTGTCTGCTGATGAATTGTATCGTGATTTAGGTCCGAAATGTGAAGTAATTGATGTAAAAGTAGCTGATAAAAAAATTGTTTTTGATATTGAAAATGGTGATTGGAATACAGGTAGGATGATTCATTATTATTCTTCTATTAATGAATAAAGAATCTTCTTAATTAGTTGCTGCTAAAAGTTTTGGTGAAACAATTTTGAGTAGCAATGTACAAAAAATTCGAAAACAAAATGAATTATTACAAGAAGAAAACAATTTGTTAAAACTTAAAGTTGAAATTTTATTAAGTCGTCTTGCTGAATCTATTGCTGAAAAATCATCAACTCAACATTAGATCGAATACAAAATTTAATAAAAACAATTTTTTACTTGTATTTTATATTGTTTTTCAATTATAGTTTTTTTTTTTTTGTAGTCTTGAACAATTAAATTCAATATATCAAATGTTTTATTAAGATTAATAGAATAAGCAATAGGATTATTTGAAATTTAATTATAAGTTTAATGAAATATTTATTGTATTTTGACTGAAAAAAAATAACTAAATATTCAATTTGTTTCTAACAATATTTTCTTTTGAACTCGATCATATTCAATTATTTTGATTCAAATGTATATGATTTACAGGAGAAGTTTTCTTCGATAACAGTGACGAAATAAGCATATTACCAAATTCTTCGACTAAATGTAGGTATCAAGTGTATATCATAAATGCTTGAACATGAGTGATAAAGGTTTTTGTTCACTAGAGAACTGTATTCGTTTAACATTTTGATAAGTTGTGTCATTATTGTGATTTTTCGTAATTAAATAACTCCACATGATTAATATCCACAAGCCTATTATTTCTATTTTACCACCAAGTGTTCGATTTTCTTCGGTCGTTGATCGCAATGTACGATGAGAAGTAGACAATAGAGAAAGCTGTCTCTTATGTATAAATTTACAGTTCAAACTTAAAATTATATCTAGAAGCATTTTAAACACTGTTCAAGTCCTCAGCGACTTGTTGAACTTCGTAACACTTTCAAATTAGTTCTTCTTCGTATATTATTCTTTGTATTGCTCTGTGAATCAACTCATCTTTATCTCCATAAGACTTCAATAACTGAATTCTATCATATTTTGAACTTTGTCCAGAAAGATGAAATAACTCAAACATTGATGAAAAGTTTTTTCGAATGATCTAGAAATAAAAGGAAATCATGCCTTACTTAATTTTCAACTTTGATTCTTGGTGTAATATGTGTTTGATTGATTGTTAATTATCAACCACATTCTTTTTAACTTCATACAAATTGATCAACATTGATAATGAGTATACTGATTTTTGTGAATATTAATGGTAATGTTATTTTCTACACGATCATCATTTGTTGGTAAATTGACATTCATATTTACAAACATATGGAATATGTTTATCATAAATTAGCAACTTAATGGTTGATAGAATTACCCGTTTATGTATGAAAGCAGAACGAGTAATCCTTCAATATATGCGCATAGACAAGAAAATGATTAACTCTCATGTGTACATTGGAGTAAACTGTGTTTTTTTTTTTCGAAGAACATATCAAATAACAACAAGTATGATGTGTAAGCAAAGTTTTTATATCAGTTAAAATCCAGTTAAGTTCTAATAGATTCTCGACAAAAAATTCTCATACAATAAGAATTTACGGATACATCTAAGTTGTTAGCATTAAATTGACTTCCTTTAGTTTCAATGCATCACATTTACGAGCCATAGAATTATTTTCATTCTTTTGTTGCTTCCCTTTTCTGATAGATAGAATGAAGCAAATTCAACTTTTTTTTTTCTGATTATTTTCTAACTTAAATTACAAAAAGTCGTTCCTGTGTAATCACTTAGTTCACTTTGTTTGTTTAAAAATTTTTCTAATACACATTCAAGAAAACTTGTTTGTTCTTGTCAAATTTATATTTACTATTACTTCTGGAACAATAAAAAGTATCTTCGTACTGTTATTTTGTTGATGAAAAGTTATTAGTCATTTTATTTATTGTTTTCTTGTAAAAGTAAATATTACTCATCATTTTCCTTATAGTGTAGTTTCTATATCGGTGCTTAGGACATGGGAACATTGAATGATTGGCTGAAACGAAATCGGGAGTACTTGAGCTATTTGTTTTTACAGAATAGATTTTTTTCGAGCTGGGGGACATTGTGACATTGAATTATTGGTTCAAAGGAAATCGAGAGTACTTGAGCTATTTGTTTTTACAGAATAGATTTTTTTCGAACTGGGGGACATTGTGACATTGAATTATTGGTTCAAAGGAAATCGAGAGTATTTGAGCTATTTGTTTTGTTTCTATAGAATAGTTTTTTTTCGCGCTGCGGGATATGGGAACATTAAATCATTGGTTGAAATGTAATTGAGAGAGTTTGAGCTATTTGTTTTTATAAAGTAGGTTTTTTCGATGCTCGTGATATTGAAGTATCGAATGATTGGTTAAATGTTTGCTGTTAGTAAATTCGTTGTTAAAACACTTGAAATTGAATGGTTTATGCTATTTCGAATAGCAGCCGATCTGTTTTTCGATTGATTGAATAATAATTGGACTATAAATGGATTGTTGATTATCTATTCGATAGACTTATTGTGAGAAAGTTTATCAATGTAGGATTTTAGATTAGAATTGGGATGCTCATTTTTTTTTTGTAAGAGATTGACATGAAAAAAGAATAATTTATGTAATTAGGAACAAACAGACATAGAATGTGTTCCTTGATTGGATGTTCCATAGCACCGAACATCAATCGATGAATTATAAGGGGATGAATAAAATTTTAATAGTCACTAAATAGGAATGGTTAAAAGTGAAAATTTTCTATATGTAAATATTTTAAAATAATTCAAAATAAATCATAGAAGCTCGATCAACCATTTAGATTCGCTAAAATTACAAAATTTGAATACCATAGTAAACAAACATTAATTATCATGTGATTTATACTATTCACATGCATATCAAACTCAACTGATTTCTTATGGCAACTGTGACATATATTTCATTGAATTAAATGAAACATAAGTTCAAGTCCGATTCGTAGCATAACATGTGTACAACTCATATGTACTTAATTTAAATGAATAATAATCTAGAAAATAATTATTTCTTGAATGACTATTCATTATTTTTGAATAACAAGTTTAGTAACATATAGTTCGAATAAATCAGGATTCTATTTATATCTAGAAAATAAAAGTCATTGAACTTTTTGTCATACTAGCACTGATGTAAAAAGTTTCTTGACAACATAATATTGAGTATTTTCATTTCTAATAATAGGAAAGGAATCATCTTATGTTAAAATTTAGCTTAATACTCTACTATTACTTTTATTTAAAAGATTATAATGATCGTGTTTTTTTTGGCTTTTCAATATGGAACTAATTTAGAATATTTTTTCATTGAAATAAAACTCTTAGTCTTAATTTTTCGTCTTAAAAAATATCCTATGAGTGGTACTGACAATGAATAACGTCGATAAACGATGATATAAGTTTTGGTAAAATGTCTATTGAATGTATGACAACTTACTAAAATCTAATTTTTAGTGAGAAAGAACATTTGATCGATCAATATCAGCAACTCATATCTAATCGGGTGATGATAAAACTAAGGTTAACGAAAACAAAACGTTCCTACTGTTAATCAGTGATAGCTTCCAATGTCTTTTTTTCTTTTTGAGTGAATAGACATGACAGTAATGCATAAATACATATAATACTAACTTTCATGATTTGAATAATTAATTTTTCAAGATCTACATCCGATTCATCTTTACCTTTTGTCTATTCAATGCTATGATAAGTACCGTACAGTAAAATATTGAAACGGGAAGCATACTTTATATGACAAGAAAAAATAAAAATATAGTATAGTACTAACAACTAGAATAAATATTACAATGTGTTTTCTTGTTGATTGGTCAACATCATTGTTCATTCAAAAGAATATTGCTTATAGTTTGGTATAATATTTTTCTAGTAAAAGAATTTTTGTACGAAAAAAAAACAAAGTTATTATATACTTGTTTATTTCATAAAAGATAGTCAACGAGACGAACTCAGAATTTTAATAAAAGTAACCATTTTCAACTACAAGAATGCTTTCTTCGATTCATTTGAGATGATAGCGTTTTGTTCTCGATTGATTTCCGCTGGAAATACATTAAGAAGAGAAGAACAATAGTTTCCGATTTTTTTCTTTGAATATATCACTGAGTAATAAATATAACTTACATAAGTTATTAAAAGAAAATCTGAAAATAAAAAGAATGCTATAGTACATGTTTTCATACAATTAGAATTTACCTCTGATATAGAAAATCATACAATATATTTCTCGATCTAAAAACTTTTTCAAATAGAATGTAACTGAAACTAAATCTTTTTTTTGTTTGTAACATATATATATATATAGCTTTACGTTGAAGTTATTATCGTTTGACTAATGACCACAAATCAAATAAACATTAGGATTCAGCTACCTGCTATTCTCATATAGAGATTAACAAAGATAATGTTAAATAACATCATTAGTAACACGTTATCTCCTTGACTTGTAATTTAATTTACAGTGAACAAATATTACATAATGATTTCAATAATTGTACATGTCATGATTTGAATTGCTCAATGTTATATCAACTGGTGTCCTCTGTCAAAGTTTTCTCTATAATTGGTACAATGCGCATAGCCAATAATATGTTTAATCTCAAATTCTTATTTTTTTGACAGATTTGCCCTTAGGGTACTCTCAAGGCTTCACATTCCGTAAAATTATATTTTTTTCACGTTCTTTTCACCTATTATTGTATCTTTTTTGTACTTGATTCCCTTTACAAGATATGGGTAATACTGTATAACATGGTACGAGTATAAATTCTAAAAATGTAGAAGTTATTTCGTAATCATTACATTGTAAATTCAAATAAATTTTTCATTCATCATTCTCTTTAGTGAAATCAAGAGGAATCAACGATTACATTTGAAAAAATGCATATTCTTCGCTATTGATAAATCGTATTAGTGTGATAACAGCATCTGAAGTTGAAATAAGGACAATTTTATAAATGATCTGATGACGTTTTTCAATATTGTTCGATGATTTTGTAAAACTCTCCAGTCATTTATAACTGTTAGTGCTTCACGAGAAACATATGTATCGATGAAGTTCTTCATTAGAATGATTGTTTTATTCTTATTTTTTATTTCTTAATTAGAAATGTTTTTTTTTCGTATAATGATGAATAATATTCTTAGTCTGATTTGAGGAGTAATTTCATTTTCATTAAATTTA